CAGCCAGTCCGGCCAGCCTGCTCAAATCCTTGGCCTCCGTGCTGGAGGGACAGAAGTACTGTTACCGGGGCACTGGAACGGCTGTTGCCACCCGGCCCGGGCCCTTGGCCGCCACTCAGTATTCCCCCGGTCCCCCGTCAGGTGCTACCGCCCCAGCGGCCCCCAGCGCCCAGGGCTCCCCGCAGCCCTCCGCTTCCTCGTCATCTCAGTTCTCTACCTCAGGCGGGCCCTGGGCCCGGGAGCGCAGGGCGGGCGAAGAGCCAGCCCCGGGCCCCATGACCCCCGCCCCGCCGCCCCCACCCCTGCCTCTGCCCCCCGCTCGGTCTGAGTCTGAGGTGCTAGAAGAGATCAGTCGGGCTTGTGAGACCCTCGTGGAGCGGGTGGGCCGGAGCGCCACAGACCCGGCGGGCCCAGTGGACACGGCAGGCCCGGTGGACACGGCAGGCTTGGTGGACAGTGGGACCGAGCGCCTGCTGCCTCCGGCCCAGGCCCGGGAGGAGAGCGGCGGGGCGGGGGCGGCAGCAGGACCAGGCAGCGGCAAGCGGCGGCAGAAGGAGCACCAGAAGGAGCACCAGAAGGAGCACCGACGGCACAGGAGGGCCTGTAAGGACAGCGTGGGTCGGCGGCCCCGAGAGGGCAGGGCAAAGACCAAGGCCAAGGCCCCCAAAGAAAAGAGCCGCCGGGTGCTGGGCAACCTGGACCTGCAGAGCGAGGAGATCCAGGGGCGCGAGAAGGCCCGGCCCGATCTCGGCGGGGCCTCCAAGGCCAAGCCGCCCGCCGCTCCGGCCCCCCCACCAGCTCCTGCGCCCTCTGCCCAGCCCACGCCCCCCTCAGCTCCCGGGCCTGGGAAGAAGGTCCGGGAGGAAGCGCCAGGGCCACCAGGTGTCAGCCGGGCTGACATGCTGAAGCTGCGCTCACTTAGTGAAGGGCCGCCCAAGGAGCTGAAGATCCGGCTCATCAAGGTAGAGAGTGGTGACAAGGAGACCTTTATCGCCTCTGAGGTGGAAGAGCGGAGGCTGCGCATGGCGGACCTCACCATCAGCCACTGCGCCGCCGATGTCGTGCGTGCCAGCAAGTAGGTCGGGGGCAGGCGCCCCGGAGGCCTCCACCCTTCCCACCCCCCAACGCCCGCCCGTCGCCCTGCTAGCCCTGCCCTTGCCTCTCTGCCCTCCCCACAGGAACGCCAAGGTGAAAGGGAAGTTTCGGGAGTCCTACCTTTCCCCAGCCCAGTCTGTGAAACCGAAGATCAACACTGAGGAGAAGCTGCCCCGGGAAAAACTCAACCCGCCCACCCCCAGCATCTATGTATGTGTGCCAGCCCGCCATCGGCTGCTCAGACCCAGCGGGGGGCTGGCGGGGTTGCCCTGAGCCTGGGACGGCGCTTTCACCCGCTCCTGCTCCTCCCGCAGCTGGAGAGCAAACGGGACGCCTTCTCGCCAGTGCTGCTGCAGTTCTGTACAGACCCTCGAAATCCCATCACCGTGATCCGGGGCCTGGCGGGCTCCCTGCGGCTCAGTGAGTGCGGAGGGCAGGGGTGTGTGGGGAGGAGGCCTCTGAGGGCCCCCGACTTGGGGACCCCGGGCAGTGGCTCCCACGAGCTCTCCTCAGTCACACGTAGGCCGTATTTGAGGAGTGCTCTGAGTGATGGGTCCGCCGGCCTCGGGCTTTTCTCCCATCTGTGTGTCCCCAGCAGTGGGCACAGGGGAAGGGAGGTATCTCAGGACCCAGCTAGAGTCACGTTGGCTTTTCTCGGTTCATTAGGATGAGGGTACAGATTACACACGGCCTCAGCCAGCCCGTGGTCTGGGGCTTTCCCTTTTCCAGCCCTTTATTGTGCAGAATTTCAGACAAAAGGACACACATCGGAAGGGACGCCACTTAGAAACATAAAACTCAACCAATGTTTCCTCTATACCCAAGCATCCTCTGTCCCCACATAGCCTCCCTTCTCGCCAGTGAGTTCTTGAAGCACATTCTAGGCTTTCACATTACTAAATCTCCTTGGATCCCATGATCGCGTTCGGAAACTTCCATCCGTGCTGTGCACCTGTGGCCCCATGCGCACGCGAGGACGTTGGTGGAGGGGCCCTGGCTCAGAGCAGCAGTGGGAGACGGGGTTGGGGGCGTCCCCGCTGAGGCCGGGCCCTGGGACCTTGCCAGCTGCCTGTGGGGCCGGGCTTGTCACCTGTCTCTCCCCCCCCCCCCCCCCCGGGCCGACCCCGCGCCAGAGGCTGAGGGAGTCAGAAGGCCCTCACTCGCTGCCCTCTGCCCCTGCCCCGACGCCCTGCTCGGCCCTCCCTTGCAGACTTGGGCCTCTTCTCCACCAAGACGCTGGTGGAGGCGAGCGGCGAGCACGCGGTGGAGGTGCGCACGCAGGTGCAGCAGCCCTCCGACGAGAACTGGGATCTGACGGGCACGCGGCAGATCTGGCCCTGCGAGAGCTCCCGTTCCCACACCACCATTGCCAAGTACGCGCAGTACCAGGCCTCGTCCTTCCAGGAGTCCCTGCAGGTGAGAGGCGCGCCCCTGGGCAGGCGCAGGGGGTCGGGATCCGCGGGCTGTGCCGGGGATGGGGCCGGGGGGAGGCGCGCTGCGGGGCGGGCGCTGACCCAGGCCTGCCCCTCCTCCCCGCGCTGTGGCCAAGCAGGAGGAGAAGGAGAGCGAGGACGAGGAGTCCGAGGAGCCCGACAGCACCACAGGAACTCCTCCCAGGTACGTCTTGTTTGGCCCTCCCCTTCCTGACTCCTTGCTTTCTCGGTGCTTCTCCACCAACCCGCGCTCTTTGCCTCGCCAGCAGCGCCCCGGACCCGAAGAACCATCACATCATCAAGTTTGGCACCAACATCGACCTGTCTGACGCCAAGAGGTCTGCGGGGCGGGGCCGGAGTGCCGCTGGGCGGGCAGAGTTGGGGGGGAGCCGCTCACTTCTGCTGCACCCTCGCCCCCGCAGGTGGAAGCCCCAGCTGCAGGAGCTGCTGAAGCTGCCCGCCTTCATGCGGGTCACATCCACGGGCAACATGCTGAGCCACGTGGGCCACACCATCCTGGGCATGAACACGGTGCAGCTGTACATGAAGGTCCCCGGCAGCCGAACGCCAGGTGCGCTCCTGGCCCGGGCGCGCGTGGGGGGCGGGGCTGCGGCCGGCGCTCCTCCGCCAGCCAATGAGGGCGCGAGGGCGGGCCGGGCGCCGAGCGCCGGCTCGGCCCAGGCCAGCCACGCCGTTCTCTGTCGCCCCCTGCAGGCCACCAGGAGAACAACAACTTCTGCTCCGTCAACATCAACATTGGCCCTGGCGACTGCGAGTGGTTCGCGGTGCACGAGCACTACTGGGAGACCATCAGCGCCTTCTGCGACCGGTGCGCGCCGCCCTGGCGCCCCCCCGCCCCAGTGCCCCTCCCCCGCAGGCCCGGCCCGGCCCCGGGTCCTCAGACTTCGCCCTGACCCTGTGGCCACCCCGCAGGCACGGCGTGGACTACCTGACTGGTTCCTGGTGGCCAATCCTGGACGATCTCTATGCTTCCAATATCCCTGTGTACCGCTTCGTGCAGCGCCCCGGAGACCTCGTGTGGATTAACGCGGGCACCGTGCACTGGGTGCAGGCCACCGGCTGGTGCAACAACATCGCCTGGAACGTGGGGCCCCTCACCGGTGAGAGGGTGGGGCCCGCGGCGAGTGAGCCCTGCGGGGAGGGGGGCGCCGGGCGGGAAGGGCCATCCCCCCCCCCCGCCGTGGTCCGGGATGGCCGGGCATCCTCAGTGCCCCCCTCTGGCCCGCAGCCTATCAGTACCAGCTGGCCCTGGAACGATACGAGTGGAACGAGGTGAAGAACGTCAAATCCATCGTGCCCATGATTCACGTGTCCTGGAACGTGGCTCGCACGGTCAAAATCAGCGACCCGGACTTGTTCAAGATGATCAAGTGAGGGCCCCATTTGGGAAGCAGCCCATCTCCACCCGACCTGGCCCCGCTCTTGTGCTTCCTGTTTGATTCCACCCAGTTTTCCACCTGCTTCTGCCCGCTTGCCCCCCCCCCCCCGGGGGCCCCCGCGCTATCGGTGCGCTGGGGCGCCCGACAGGGGCCCCGCTCCCAGGCGCTTTCTTTTCCTCTGGTCCAAGTAGACAAGAGCCACATGAAATGTCAGCTGTGACAGATGCCCAGGTCAGGGACTGTGACCCGGCCTGGAGCGGGGAGGGCCCCCCCACTCCCCCCGCGCCGCCCGGCCTCACCGGCCCCTCGCGCCCCCCGCGCGCAGGTTCTGCCTCCTGCAGTCGATGAAGCACTGCCAGGTGCAGCGCGAGAGCCTGGTGCGCGCCGGCAAGAAGATCGCCTACCAGGGCCGGGTCAAGGACGAGCCCGCCTACTACTGCAACGAGTGCGACGTGAGTG